AGGACAAAGGCGAAAAACTACATCCTCCACAACAAAACCAGACGTTAAATCACGTAGAATTCCCACCTCCTACACACGGACACCCGCACCAACACGAATCGTTCTGCACGCACGAGGATTCCCCACACGCACTTCAATCCCCCGACCCCTCTCAGCAGTCCCCGAGGCCCTCCGCGGCCTTCTCACAGCCCCGCGGCCTCCAGCGGCCCTGCCCCGCCCGGGAGCGCGCCCACGTCAGCGCCGCCCACGCGAGCCCCCCGCTCCGCGCTCCCTCAGGGCGAGGGGAACGGGGAACCGCAACGGGCCAGCCCCGCTCCCGGCCCCTGCCCCCCGGCAGCGGGAAAGCAACGACAACGGCGCAGCCCCGCGGCGAAGCTCCAGCACGGCGCCGCCCCGCGCTACCTGCCCAGCTCCTCGGCTTCCATGGCCGAGCGCGGCGCCCCGCCGGCGGCCATCGGGCTATTGTCAGAGCTCCCCCCCACCTCCGATCCCCACCGACCTGCCGGGCAGCCGCGCGGCACGTGACCAGCGCCGACCAATGGCAGCGTTCGGTTGGGTAATCGGTTGAGCAGCAGCCGGAAGTTGCGCTTGGCGTCACGGAAAGGTGACGCACTTCCGGCGCGCCACTCGATAGGTGGTGGTAGGCCGCCATGCCCGCGGGTGTGCCCTGGTCCACATACGTGAAGACGCTGGCTGCCAGCATGCTGGCCATGTTCGCAGGAGCCGAGGTGGTGCACCGGTACTACCGGCCTGACCTCGTAAGTGCTGCCGTAAATTCAATAATTTATAAAAGGCAATGGAACCTCTTTTTCTGTCACCAAAAAGAAAAAAACATTGACAGAAATTTCAACTGGTGCCTTGAAGGTCGCTGGTGCTGCGCGTCGCTTCAAATGGCCAGCGGCGGCTTTGTGCCTTTAAACAAACTGCGCCTCTTTCTCCTCCTTTAATTCAAAGCGTGCTTTGAAATTTGAAGTCAAATTCCAAAAAGGTGGTAGGTAGATGTTGAAGATGTTTTGCTTGTAGAAATTAGTGTGGTCTGGGAGATGCAGCGACAGCTTGGATGTAATGCTGTCTCTCACAGTGTCTTTGTGAGAGCAGTTTTTCTTCTTCCACAGCAGTGACATCTTTCTCTGTTTTTAACAGAGTATACCTGAAATACCTCCTAAACCTGGAGAGCTGAGAACAGAGCTGCTGGGTCTGAAAGCAAGATCAAAACAAGCTGAAACATCCCAGCATTGACTGCAGTTTGCTTTCTGTGTTTTGAGAACTACGTAGGTTGCTCCAAAAGTAATGCCTATTTATTTCCATGGAAATAATAACTGATACAAAGAGCACAATAAGAATATGTGAGCAAATTCCAAGCTACAAAAATGTCTCTCCACATAGTTGCCACCATTAGTCAATTTGTGTGTGAGAACGGATGGAGGCACTCTTCATTTCATGGTGTAACAGTTGCGTGTGGCCACTGGGAATGCAGCTTGCTGCTCACGTTGCCGTTGCTATACTGCTGAAACACAGCACCCACTGCCTCACTGCGCTGACATCCACTGGTTGGTCTCCATAACCATTCACAAGTGTTGATGAATGTCACTAGGTGCATTTTTTTTCCACCTGGCAGATTTCAGAGATGCGCCTTTGCTTCATAGATACTTCCATGGCAGATGCCATTGTCAGATTGCCCCTGTGCTGACCTCTGTTGCACAGCAACAAAATGTAACAAGAAGACTGATGAGAAGGTTCAACCTCTACTGCTGTACCACCATGACATCATGGACCAACATAATGGCACAGGAGGCACTACTTTTGGAGCAGCTCGTATAGGACAGCTAGAACATTTGGTCAACTCTCAACTGCAGAAGTCCATACGTGAAATACTTAAGCTTTTCTTCTTTCTTGAAAGCAGAATTATATGCAGTATATGTTAAAAATAAACTTATGATGAATACTGTTAAAAGTGTAATATGTTGTATACCAAAATATGTGTTATTAATTTTGATTTGCAGTGTAAATATTCTTCAGAATAAAAAATGTGAACTCATGCTTGGCCAAGTCTACTGGAGTTTGAATGTTTTAAGCTGATGTCTTGATTTCAGCTGGGATAATCTTCCTGCTAGCTGCTATGGTGCTGTGTTTTGAACTTAAGATGAGAATAATGCTGGTAACAGTTGCTGAGTAGCGCTTATTACACCAGGTCCAGGACATTTTGACTTTTCCTGCTGCACTGCCAGCAAGAGGCTGTGAGTGCATGAGGGCCTGAGAGAGGACGTGGCCAGAGCAGCTGCCCCAACTGGCCAAAGCGTCAGTGTTCAGCTTCTCAGGAAGGTGTCATACATGCTGGGTCCTGCTCTCATGGAAGTGGCTGAATAGTTCCCTGCAAATGAAATCCTTGTTTTGCTTTCATACATGACTTTTACTTTAGCTAGTAAATGCTAGCTAAATTATATCAATCTATGAGCTTCCTCGCTTCTACCTTTCTGATTCCCTTCCCCCCCCCCCACCCCCCGAGAGGGGTTGTGAGTGAGCAGCTGCATGGTGCTGAGCTGTACAAGCATTAAACCACAACAGCTTATTAGCAAGGAGAACAAGTTACAAGTTAAGCCTACAGAAAAGTCAAGTTCTATGGCCAGGCATAAAGTCCTATTTGTTCTTCTGTAGTAGAACTCAACTGAACTGTTGGCATTTCTCACCTCTGTAGACTACAGCTCAGTTTTATTCAGTGTAATCTAGGATGTAACAGAAAATAACAGAAAATTGTAGCATGGACAAAACATGCCTTTCTTCACTAAAGCATACAGGCCTCCTAATACTGGTTAACTGCCACAGTAGCAGCTGCATTGGCTTTGTATTACTGACAGGAAGTCTTTTTGAGTTAAGAGGTTGTTTCAGTTAAAACTGAGTAGACATTTACAGATTACACTGAAGTTGTGTGTATGTACTCCATTACGTATTCATAGCTATTGAAAGCAGCATAATATTCAGAACTCTGAAATAGCAGTACAGGTTTACTGTTCAGTCCTCACAGTCTCTCCACAAAGTTCTTATGCCCAGAATTCAAAAAAAAAAAGTACAAAGTCAACATATTCAAAAAGGGGTAGGTGCACCCTCTTTGTAACGGCTCACAGAAGAGGGAGGTTGGGGATTGCTTTCCCATGGGAAAGGTACCTAAGGAAGGCACAGAGTCATTTGCAGTTCTCACTGAGGTTGGACTTGGGAAAGAAAAATCACAGGCTGACTGCTGACCCATGTGGCTAGAAGGCAAAAAGCCCATTAATTGCTTTTGACACAGTACCTAGTTCTTAATAGCCCAAGGATCTACAAACAGTTGTTGCAAGTGTTTTTACATCTACTCCAGTTGTGAAGCATATGGTATTTTACATATGCTTGTGTAAGGTGGGATCTGTTTTCTTAATGAAAGAAGCTCGATGTATAGTTCTTCCTGGTCACACAGTTGTTTGCAACTGATGATCCAGAGAAGCAGCTGAGGAAGGATATTTATCCAATCTTGCCCCATGGAGTTCATGCTGCAGCCTGTGCTATGTATCACTAGAGCAGTTATCTTCATTAATGAAAACAGCACAAAGAAGGTACTGATTTTGTCTCACACACTGCGTTCAAGTAAAATCAATCTAGAGGAAAACATATTACTAAGCTCAGTTGCAGTGGTACTTCTTTCACTGCACCTAAACAAAGGCAAGAGGAGATTGACGCTGCTCACCCTCAGCACATTTGAGAACAAAGGAACAGTTTATTGAAGAAAGATGAGGCAGTTCAACAGTATTTTGTTCCTATTCTAGCTAACAGCATTTTTCAGTTATCCCTTTAAAGATCAGGATTTACTAAGCCTTACCCTGAGTTACATTGTCAGAGTATTACCTCCATCATTCTGCTACTGCATTCTACTTCAGATCATAGGGCTGCAGAAAATTTAATCGCATCCATTCAGCTCTTTTTCCAAATGGCTCCTGCTGCTAATGGAAATGGAACAGCAGGGAGTACACTTTAGCTCTGGGGGAAATCACTGTCTTGAGTGCCCATCTAATAGCAGCAAAGCTGTCTGTATACCAGGTTTGAACAGCAGCAGTGGCACTCCTCTGAAACAGTACAACTACTATAGGTAAAGAAATGGCCCAGTATGACTGCAAAGCCTTTTCCAGCAGTGATGCCATTCTACAGAGTTGACAGAAATAACTAAAAAAAAAAAACCCCAAACCTTAACAACTGCATGCTTGTGCCTATTAATAGCAAACACTTGTCACTCAAGGGTAAAGAAAGCATCTGGACCACAGCCATGTTGCACATGATATCCTCAGATGAGGAAGAAGCACAAAACATGACTATGAAGTGCTCTCTTTATTATTTCTAAAATGCAATCAGATAGGGCATTCTAGAACCAATCAATGCAATGAAAACTTCAGCCACAGAACAGAGCAGTTTGTTTAAAGTCTACAAGGAATTAACAAATTGAAGTAGCCGAACAATCCTACACTTCTAGTAACATCTGTTAAGATTTCTGAGCTGCAGAAACAGACATACAGTAGATCTGAACCACAGTTGCTACTCAGGCTGGTCAAACACAGAAGAACATTTCTTACACATCAATGGATGTTTGAGTTCATTTTTCAAGCTGTAATGTTCCAGATTCACAAAGATATTTTTTAGGAAGCAGTAAATCAAAACCTCAGAGCACAAAATGAAGTTGCACCTGACATACTAAGAGGACCACGCCTTAAGTGCTGCTCAGAGGCATACTACAGTTGATACTGTTACCTGCTGGAATGGCACTGGTTAAGCCATTCAGCCTTCTGTAACAATATTTAACTGTGTACTTAAGACACTAATGCAGTGGGCAAAAAAAATAAGCAAAAACACTCCTTTCACTCAATAAATTACGCTCCTGGACTAGCATCAAACAGCATACTTTATTAAAGTCTATGCCTCTGAATAAGCCCCAAGTCAGTAACACCACACTAGTATATGGTATTTGTACTTATTACGTGGAAACAGCATGCTTGGGCAACACAGAAACCTAGTGAAAGCAAATGGAAAGATAGAAAGCAATCTCTTCAACTTATTGTTTAAATGCCTCACCTAATTACAAATTTTACTTCGATTTCAGGACTCAAATTTTACTCTTTCACATGCCTAGTTAACAGCTCTACTTGAGAATCAATTCTCTTGTAGAGCACTATTAAGAAGTATTTTCACAGAGGAAGGCTAGTAAAGCCAATGTAAACACTGTCCACCAACCCTGTGAAGGTTTGTTTCAAAAGCAGAGGCACTAATGAGACAATCTAGTGCTTTATCTTAACCACATAAAGCTAATACAATGTATGTAAGTGGTGCCCCCAGCTCAAACTATTTCACAGTATTTCATTTGGTGTCAACAGATTTAGCTTGCATTAAATTAAGTACTTACAGTGGTTTGTCACAATAGTAGAACAAGAATTAAACAACTAACTGCCAAGAACTTCAACATTAAAAAAAAGAGGATAAAGTAGGACTACTGTAGCTGTTAGGAAAGCTACTTGTGTTAAAGGCAGGGTTACTACAGCAAAACAGTATCATCTCCCAGACAGACACATCCAGTCACTCTTCAGACCCTTAAAGGAAATCACTTTTGCTGTTCTCAGCAGTGAAAGCTACCACTGCCTATTCTGTAAAGTGCAATCAAGTCACATAATCCACTACTGTAGATTTGTTTTAGAAAGCCTGCTACAACCAGCTTATGAAGTTGCTTTTCCACAGAAGATAAGCTTCAGTTCCAAAACTATTTTTAAACACCCCACCAGGTGACAGTAATTATGCAACTTTTAAAATATTTTCTCTACCCAGGTTTCCATATAGCTCCCAGATACCAAGCATACTTGGATGAACAGTACAACAAGCTGATTAATGCAAAACCCTGCCTTCAGCATACACTTATACAACACTCAGGAGTGTGGCTGTGCCAGTGTGGAAAGGCATGAGGATAGCAAACTAACAGTTGTACAAAGGACTGAACACTCAAGACCATCCCTTTAATTCTTGTGATACTGTGGAGGATGAACTTAGGTAAAATTTAGAGGTACTGGTGTTTGGGAACATTTTATTTTGTACATGACAAGATTTTACACCAAGTCAAGTTAAATAATACAAATTTACATTCGTGAGGAATGTTTTTTTTTTTTTTTTTTAGAAAAGTCAACTTAAAAAAAAATCTCCTTTGCCCTTAAACCCCATACCATCCCTCAACCTTTTACAGTGGAAAACAAACCAAGATCTAATTCACATCCTCTCTTGACCTCCAGTGCAGGACAGTAGGTGAGTGCAGTTTACAGTTCATCTTTTACATCTGTGGATTCCTGTGGAGACAAAACAAAGAATCAGAGCCTCACTTTTTCAAAGTGCCAATGGCTACAAGAGCTACCTCAGATTAACTACGGTTGACACTTTTCAAAGTATTAACAAATAATGCAACTTTTGAAGGTGAAAACACATTCCTGTTCAAATGATTGATCATCAAGACTTGGCTATTTAAAGTGGAAACAGGCTACTTTTATTCCAGTTTGTTCAGGTGTTTGCAGCAGATCTATAGTTGACTACTGTTTACCTTCACGGATTTCTTCACTACTTTTTAGGTTCAGTTAGTACTCTTAATAGCCCCACTCTACCTGACTACAGCACTGAGAAGTTCAACTACTTCCAGTCAACAGTCAGAAACCTTTGCTAACATAAAAGTAACCTCATCCAGTAAGTAGAATAGAGAATCATAGAATCACCAAGCAATTACAGTACTAAGGGAACAATCCTATGTAATTGGGAATAATCCTACGTAATTCCCTTATTACTGTCATTTCATGTTATGTAACTGTGAAAACGCAATTTAATAGCATCAAAACCAATGCAACAGCTACAGTAAGTACAGTTCTTCAAATGTACTCTCAGGTAATCTGACAGCTAGTAGTAGCTGAACATTCTAACAGCTTTGTATTTGTGCTGGCAAAAGACAAAAGTTACAGCACTCTTCCAAAAGCAACTTCAGCCAGCACAAAGAGTTGGGACTTCACGGTGACTTTAAAATTCATGTCACTGAAGAACT